AAGAGATTTTGTTTTTTATATGTATGTTTATGTAATATTTCCAAAATTTTATAATTTTACTATTTCAAAGTAATAAACTACACGCACAATTATAATTCACAACTACATATACTACATATACTACATAATAATACAAATTCAGTTGTATTATTTATCGCGAGTGTTCGCGATTAATGATGTTTTGTCGATTATTGTACCGCGAATAAAAATCTGTATATGTCTAATAACTGCAGATTTTGATGCTACAAATACGGTATGTACTATCTATACGCGCTATTATATGTACTTTCATTAAAATTTAGTTCGTCAAAATTATGTCAAGTAAAACACTCTAACCGCAAAGACAGTCGCTTATTTCGCATTCTCAGTGCATATATTAACATTAGTTGCAGTTGTGTGTAGTGTTGTGCGTGTAGTTGTGCTGTAGTGTGTGTGAACGCGTATCGGGATAAAAAGTGTTTGATTTCGCATTTGAGTTTCATACCGCGACGTAGTAAATTCGTAGTGAAGTGCGTATAATTAGCAATATGTGCAAGTTTCTAGTATTCGATTCTTCCATAAAGCTGATACTTCCATGCGTTCTAAATAACTGAATATAAAGCAGCCTAAGATGGAATATACAACGGATGCGGCACACTACAATACCCTAGCTGGTGAGTACAATTATTCATAATTTTATTATGTACATGAATATGATAACAGATAAATACACAAATATAAAATTGGAGAGCATACTTAGCTGGGGTACAACGACCGGTGAGTGAATTCTTTTATTATATTAATTACACAGCGTTCTGATATCATCCGCTGTCTTTTTATTTGTCAATATTCATTGTGTGTGTTATTACTCTTTGACAATCACATCTTCGTCTGCAATTTCACTTTTTTTAGATGAAGAATAAGATATGAAAACTTTTTTATTGTGTCAACAACAAAAAGTAAAACATTTTAATACATTCCTGTAATCGCCCGTCACTTTCATCGGCACTCCCGACAAATATTTTACATTGATCATGCATTTTTAATGCAGATTGATACAAATAAAATATGCAATTAGCTGCGAAGCGTCTTTACCTGCATTCCGAACCGACGAAAAGAAAGTGTCATGGCGGAGAGTTACGTCATAGTGTCACTTTAACAATTGTACCAATCGTTAAATATCAAAATATATCGATATCCGTACTATGTGCGCCATCCTTCGGTGAAAGTTTTTATTATGTTACGTCACATATGACTATTATCTATGCTTTTTTATACGGATTGATACGGATAAAATACGTAAAATATTCGTACCTCGCGTTTCGAACCGACGCACGTAAAACATTATTATGGCAATGCTTATTGTTAGACAAAATGTCAGCTATACAAAATATTTTCATTTGACGACTCGCGTATAAATACATAAGGCATACTACTACCAGAATTAACGTTAGTCTCTCTGTCTCTCTCCTAACAAAAAAATGTAAATTTCTTAAAGAACGTTGAATAAGACATTCTTATAATTATAACCATAGCTTGATGAAAAGCAATAAAGAAACATTTAATTTTTATTCTTGATCCATCGCGATTCTAGCAATTTATGCCGTAATGACAATGTAATATTTCAATATCAAAAAACACATTCATACATAAAAAGAAACGACTCAATATTATCCAAGTGCGTTATATTCATAATTGTTCAGAAATTGGTATTATTATGCAAATTATAATGAAAATCGGAATGTTATAACTTACAATATGCCTTGCGTTCGAAAAATAACTGCACTCCTTCATTCGAGTTTCGATAGAACAATGCGCGAAAATTGCAACTTGTATCTCGATAAACTGCTGCCAATTGCTTTACATTACCCTTGCTCACGATAATTAAAAAAATCTTTTTAAATATTCTACTGCTATTTTGTGTTATGTATTATGTAAATTTATTCATGAATTTTACATATAATAATTAAAACTTAAGATTTATTATAAAGAGATTAATTATGATGCACTTGCACCCTGCGTTATGAAACATACATAATGCGTAATTGAAACTTTTTTCGCGGCCGCGGAGATGGCGCATATAGTATCGATATCGATGTATTTAAATTTTAAACTATTGGTACTCTTGCTAAAAGATGCTGAGTAATCCCGTTCCCGCCACTTTCTTTCCGTTGGATCAAAATGGAGGTAAATGACGCTTCACGATTAATCACGTACGTTATCTATATCAATTCATATTAAAAATGTACAATCAATGCAAAATTTTTATCGGGAGTGTCGATTAAAGTAACAGGCGATTATCAGAACGTCGGTGTCATAATTGAATTTAGGTTGTAAATTTTACCATATCAATTCGTATTAAAAGTGTACAATAAGTATGAAATTTTTGTCGGGAGTACCAATTAAAGTGACGGGCGATTAGTGGAGTGTATTATTTTCGATTGTACGCGATCAACGACGATTTATTGTTGGCGTCGTAGTTTGTTCTAGATTGCAAATGGTTCCGGTGAGTATAGATTCCAATGCAAAAAACATACAAAGTTAATCTAAATGTTTGTTTAAATATCAAAACATTATTTATTATATGTCGAAAATTTCATCAAAATTAATCAAGTAAAACATGATTATTGCATGTGAGAAAGATGACCTCCTTTCTATAATCGTTCTCATAAAAGAATCTTGCAAAGAAGCTTGCTTTAATGTATATGTATGTACCAAAGTATCGAATTGATCATCTAATGTACACATTAATAGTTATGTTAATGAACACGTCGCGGCCACAGTGTGTTTTATTTCGCATTTGCCTGTTTTGTACCACAGCATAGAAACTTCGAGATGCAATCCTGTCTGTAACTTCTATGCATTCTTTCAAAAATAAAGTATTGATTATTGTCTGATAATAATAATAATAATTAACAAGCACGGTTTTCCAGTATTTATTGACTGTTTGATGAATCTGATGCGGAGCAGAATCTCAGGCAAAATATGCAGTTGGAACAAACTACAATACCCTAGCTGGTGAATATTTATTCATTATTTATTTATTATTTAAATGTAATTTATTAAAACATTTATTAAATATTCATTAAAATTTTTAAATAATTAGTCATACATTGCATTGCATATAGTTTTCATCAAATAATATTTTGATCAAAATGGAAATAATTAAATAATATGTAATAATCAATATACATAATATCTCATAATTAAAATATGTATTATTTTCTTCAGGTATAACTAACAGCGTATTTAGTTAGGGTACAACGATCGATGAGTGATTTCATTCATTATATTTGCACAATGTTTAGAACTGTACTTTGACAATTATTTTCATCTGCGATTCTTGCAAATAAATAACATACTGGCAGTAATTTATTACTTCAAAAAGTGTAAAATTATATAACTGAGAATATTATATCACATATATGTAGAAAAAAAATCTTATAACATTGAATTTAAAAATTTTAACATAATTTAAAAAATATAATTTTAATATATCTTTAATG